GGCATCTCACAGTTTGTAATTGAATAACTTTGCTACTGCAGCCTAAAACTGTATACATATTATATATGATAAGCTACCGATTCGCCCAGACAAATGTAATCAATATTCGGAGAATTGAGCCTAATTAGTTGACTGGATTTTTCCCACGCCCACGCAACGCGCACAGCACAGCACAGCAGAGGAGAGGAGAGCACAAGCCAAGACCCAGTCGGAGTCGCACTTGTCTGGCTGTGCTCTCGGGCGTTGGGACCATGGGACTGATCAGAATGATCTATGGGCTAAGGCTCTGAGCATCATGCAGCGCTGTGGAACTCGCTGTGCCACCAAATTTGGCAGTGCCACAGACGCGTTTGCAGTCGCCGTCGCCGTCGCAGTTGCAGTTGCAGGCATAAGGCGAGTGGAAATCAAAGCACGCTACTTACGCCCAAAAGGTATTGAAAGCCGCACAACAAACACTCACAGAGCACTCACTTGGCGGAGCACTGGACGAGCCACAATAAAACTCATAAATCAAATAAGACAAAAGACTCGAGGCGAACGCAGGGCCCAGGCCCAGGACCAGGACATGTCTGTTGGACCACGAAAACGAAAGCTGCAGCATGGCGTGCGTTCAGGCGGGGAGCTAAAGAAGCTCCAGATGCTCTATGATGCAGCAGGGCAGCCTGTGGGCGAGTGCGGTGGGGAGAGGGGGGGGGGGGGGGTTTGGGTACACTCAGACAGACAAAAGGACAGCGGTACGGACGGAGCAAAGCAACGCAATATTGAGCACGACTGCGAACAATGGGAGCAAATAACTGGCAGGCATTCGGCATGAGCCGAAGATGGAGATGAAGACTGAGACCCAGATGGGAGACGGAGACGTAGACGGAGACGTTGCAGGAGATGGACCAGGAGCAGGAGATAGTGACCGAGATGGAGACACAGTCAGAGCTGCAGCCCAAGAGTGGAGCAGCTCGCGACCACCGTAGCAGCCACAGGAGTTGTAAGCGATTTTCAAGGTAAGACAAACATAAATACAACAACAACAACAACATCAACAAGTAGGAAAGTCATCTAATGGACTCACATGACGAACTTTTGATGCACTTGACAATTGCCCAGCACAAGATAATCATCATGAAATAATTCAAATAGTATTTAGTATGAGGGCATCAATTTTTAATCTTGAACAACTCGATTAAAGTGTCTATTTTATTTTGACGAATAGTTGACGGTTGCCAAAACGGAAACCCAAACTTATACGTATTACTTATCCCTATTCGAAATTTAGCTGGCTTTCCTCATTCTGATTCCTCATGGTTTAGTTGGCATACTCTAGACAGTTTCTATTTAAATGCTCGCAAAAACTATTAAATGGAAAATGTGTTACTTATGCAAATTTCCAACAATGTCAAGCTTTTGTTACTTTGAAACTTTCAAGTCGAATGAAAGCAACAGCTCTTCGTAAATTCGTATAATTGAAAAACATATTTTGAGACAAGACCTACCCAAATCAAGCATTCACCAGCTTTCCAACCTTCAGTTTAGTTGTGTTGACGGTCTGCGTTAAAGCTCTCTTAAGACTGCTTTAAAAACTGAAAAAAAAATATATATGAAAAAGGCTTTCTAATGCAAACAATTAACATATTTAGCTTATAAAGCTCAAACAACTAAGCTTTAAGATCAGCTGTGCTGATGATCTGCATTAGTAAGCCTTTTTGTTAATATTCTCTTAAAGCTGCTTTGAAAGCTTAAAATATTATGAGCGAGAAGCTTACTTAAACTTTAACTTTAAGTTTTATTGTAGCACAACTAAGCTTTAAGATGAATTGTGGTGACTGCTGCTTTCAAAGCAGAAATAATTAAAGCTTAAAGCTTAAAGCTCAACTCGCCGTTTAAAGCTTAAGAATATTCTTCTTTCTCGCACTTTCACAGAAAGAAAATCTTTTTATTTTTAATAATTTTGAATGCTTAAAGTCTTGCGTATTCCTTTGCATGCCACAAAATTGCAAATGTTGCAAACACGCTGACAATTTCGTGTTGCTCGTAGTTGCAACAGATGGAAAAGCGGCAACAGTCACCAAAATGATGCGCAAGTGTCGTCAGTTGCGAGTTGCCAGTTGCAAGTTGCAAGCAGCAAGCTGCAGCTGAGGTCTTGTCTGAGGCATTGTGGCAAACTGCGACCCAACTGGAGCGCACAGCGACAAGATGAATTTCCAGCGTATTGCGTTGTTATTTTGGTCATGAGATCGTCTTCATAGTCATCGTCGTTGTCGTCATCAGCGTCAGGCGGCTGGCTGGCCGGCACAAATATCTTCAGCCGGCCGGAGCCTATCCAACTAGATATTTTTTGGGCGCTTCGTTACACAAAATCACGAACCAAATCGTGCACGACTATTTTGCGTGAGTTGAGCGCATGATCAGCTGCAACTGCAACTGCAACTGCGGCGCTGACTGCGGCCAGGGCTGCCCCTCGGCTCACTATGCTTGTGTACGCTGTACTTGTTGTTGTTCATGTTGCTGTTGTTGTTGTTGTTGTTGTCGTCGTCTATGCTGCAGCTGCGACCTGTGCCACGGCATGGACCTGTCTGTGGCCCAAACAGCTCGCCAGCCCAGGCGATCGCCTTTATTTTTATTAGCCCACATGCGCACTTGGCTCAAAATATTTTTTGACAATTTTCTTTATATTCCATTTGATCAACTCAACAACGCCCGGCCTCAGCTGCATTTTGATTGGCACATGTCAGCCGCAAAATGTTGCAGATACAGCAACAAATGTTGCTGTCGCGTCAAGTGCAATGCAAGCAACAACAACAACAGCAACAACAGCAACAACAACCACAACAGAGTCAAAGTCACACGCTCTGACAAATTCCATTGCATTGCTGTTGATCAGTCGAGTTGTCGTTGTCGTTGTTGTTGTTGTTGTTGTTGTTGCACCAAGTTGCTGCTGCTGATGCTGCTGTTGTTGTTGCTGGAAGGTGGCAACTGTTAGCTAGTTAAACATAGCACGAAAAACTAATTTAAATTTAAATGTTAAATTCACGTAACAAAATGCGAAATCAAACTGTGCGCAGGATGCCAAAGTTTACCGTGTGTATTGTGTTGTTTTGTTTTCTTGTACCTGTGTGTGAGTGTGTGTGTGTTGTTTGTTGTGTGTTATTGCTGACATCTGAACGCCTCAAAGGTTATCGCTAGCAATTAGCATGCCATCAGCAGCAGCAACAACTTGAACAGGAACTGCAATTGAAATAAAGGCAACAATTTGTCTGATCTCTTTGTGGCATATGTGTTCGCGTGTGTGTGGGTGTGTGTGTGTGTGTGTGGGGGGGGCAATCACCACGCCTACCCAAACAGTTACAACATATTATTGCCTCATATTTTCATTCAATATTGAAGTCTTGTGGAAAATACAATTCTAAATAATTTTACAATTCTCTTCTTGATTATGTTTATCAAATCTAAATTCAACAATTTGTTCTTACTAATTTTACAAAAACTCAGATATAGGTTAAATTTTCACATAAATCGAATAGTTCGAATTTTTTGGAATACTCTCACGCAAAACTTCTAGAAAACTATAAAAGCATGTTCTTCTGTTGAACAATATTCGATAAGCATTCGGCTACAAAATACTACAAAATATAAAAATGATCTTTTCGCATTTTTGGGTTTCTTACAAATAATATCTGACTTTATTTATTATGGTATTATAATGCACAGCATTATGTGAGTGCAAAACAGCCCTGTCTTTTGCTGCAATTTGAGAATCTTCTTCGCATTGAAGTATCTCGCATTTGTGCGAGATATTCGCCTTAGGCTTAATACCTTTTTAAAGCAATACAATATATCTCAAGTATAACTGCATATAAGTTGTCTATAAATCTGCAGTAATTTATTATTATTTTTCAACACTGCTTTAATGTTGGTAAAATCGAAAAAAGTGTTGCAGCATGGACTTAACCTGCCGCTCCTTGGAGTTCGAGTTTGTTAGGTTGTCTTCAATTTAACTGTTTATTGATTTCGCATTCAAAAACTGTGTTAGCTAACCAGTGTTGGTAAAACCTTTTCAGTGCTGTACAGTCTTCAGTTTCAACTGTTGCACACTGATTAAGAATATTGATTGATAATTTAAAAACTGGTGTTGGCTAACTAGTTAAACTCTGAAAGCTGTTGCGTATTTGCTAGCATTGGCCAGTTTTCGGCTGACTCTGTGGATGTCTTCTACGTGCGTCTTTCTTGTTGTTGTCTTTTTTCTAGCTGCAGCGGCAACTGCAAAAAGTGTGCACACAAGTGATTCGCAGTGTCAGGCTAATAAAAATAGTATCATGTTGCAGGCAACGGCGATGGCAGCGAATGCCTGCAACATGGCAACAAAACGTTCAGCTGCTGACACACAGACAAGTGCAGGCCGTGCTGTCAACGGCTGCGTCAACGGCAACGGCAACGGCAACGTCGACGTCGACGTCGACGTCAGCGTCGCAGCATCGGTTAATGAACATAGGAAATTCGTTTACATTTGCCATTTATGCGAATTAGACAAGTCTTTGTAGAGGCCAACTTGTTGTTGTTGTTGTTGTTGTAGTTGGTGTTGGTGTTGTTGTTGGTGTTGTTGGTGCTGCTGCTGTTTTATTACTGAAACTAACAACAACGACGACGACACATTGAAAAATTCGCTAGTCGACAGAAATGAAATTTTCTACAACATTTCAACGGCTTTTGTTTCACAGTGTTTGTTTTTGGTTTCTTTCTACTGCTCTTTTTTTTTATTTGCCCTCTCTTTTTTATAGTTTCTTATTATTTTTCCTTGCGCGCAGGCAGCACAGCTATGCGATCGCATTTGCCACAAAGGTGAATGAGCTCATTCACTAACTAATATTGCAATAATAAAATAATTATTTAACATTATTTATATACATATTTATGCCTTTTTAAAATATTATTTCAAGCATACATCATTTACATACAGCCAACTTCAATATATCTTAAATATATTTTTCCTTATATGTATATATTTCCAGCTGACAATACTTGAGGAAATAACTAAAATTTTCTTTGGACTTTTCTGTGTTCACAGACATATGTATATTTCCCATCTATACGATTTACAGGAAAAGGTTTCCCAATATTCCATCAAGAGGCATTTATATCTGCCGATACTCGATACTCGTGAGTCATAATCGTTTATTCTACAATCTATATCTTTTGATAAAATATATATTTATTTTAATATGAGCTTTTGGCCTCAGGCTTTGCCTACATTTAAACACACACACGTAGATATTTTTTCACTGCTCATTCAGATGGTTTTTTGCTCTTTTGGATTTTCGGCAAGTGCATTCACGCTTCGGTGTTAAATGGACATGGCGAAAAAAAAGGTTTTCGCCTGCCTGCAAAGTGCTGACTGAGCAGAAGAACAAAGCGAATTGCCAGCATGCTTGCTGCATGGGTGCAGTATGGCCAGAGGTTGAGCTGCAGGCACAGCGTGCGGTGAGGGAGGGGCGAAGGGGGGCGGTATACTCGGAGCAACTCGTACATGGATGCTCCTATGCCTCTATGGCACGGCCCGTGCAGTCAGTGGCTCGCTGTGTGTGTGTGTGTGTGTGTGTGTGTGTGTGTGTGTGCAAGTGCTTTCCACTTGATGTAACATTACTTTGAAATCTCTTGCCTCACAGGAGCAGCAGATGGCAGGGGGCAGGCGGCAGGGAGCAGGCGGCAGGCGGCAGGGAGCAGCAGCAGCAGCAGCAGCCAAATGAAAAGCAAAGAGAAGATGTTCGGCCAAAAGAAGACGGCGCTGGCTTGGTGTGAGGTGTGTGGCATGAGTCGAGGTACAGCTACTCGGCTTAATTTTCGAGCCGACTCACATCCAAAAGGGGTCACAAGGCAGGCGGGTTGGGCATTGCAGGCAGCAGGCAGCAGGCTGCAGTCGGCAGTCGGCAGGCTGGGGTCGCGGTCAACTGACCAAATGCTTTGTTCCTCCGGCATGTGTGGGGATGCACGCCGAACGCTTCGCTGGACAATGAACAAGCGAAATTAGAGAATGTAAACAGCGCATTTTATCCTGCTCGTTGCCTCTGCAACAGCGGCAGCAGCAGCAGCGGCAGCAGCAGCGGCAACAACATCGTTGACATGCACAAAAACGCCGTGAAACGTGGACCATTTTTCTTTGGCTTTGTTGGGCCAACAGGCGACGCGACATCGAAGACAACGTCGGCGCCAGCGCCAGCCCCAGCTGACACGCCTATTTGGGTTGACAAACATTTCAGAAGGCGCTGCGCAGCAGACGGCAATTACAAGCAGATCGCGGCCCCTGCAATTGCAACCTTTTGGCACTTGCCTCAGGTGGCAGCTACCTAAAGGTGTTTGCTGCTGACGTCATAACAGTAAATTAACGCCAACTTGGCCAATACACGTTACCCAACGAACAGAACACACATCGAACAGTCGAACAGTCGAACAGTCGAACAGCAGCCCAGACAAGCAAATTGAATTTTTTAATGGAACTTTACCCCCGCCACAGGCAGCCAAACATCGAAATTACAAAAAACCTTTTCACAGAGCGAATGCGAATGCGAATCGCATGGAAATGGGAAATACAAGTGCGTGTGCACAGCCAGCCGAGAGTGGGTCCAACAATTTATCCCAAGAGTTCATTTACAAAATAATTTAAGTATGAAAATGTGAAGGAAAAAAAACCGGGAACCAATATTAATTTGGGTGAATTTTCAGACGGGCTTTAAGGTTTGCTAGATTATTGAGCTTAAAATTGCCAACTTAAATTGAAACAAGTAAGAGGTTCTAGTCGGGAGCTCCTGACTAGGGGATACCCTGAACCCTCTTCTTCCAACAGGCGATAGGTATAAAATGAAAGATACTTGATATATATATACTATTCTTGAAGCTACATGTCAAGTCTGGTTACTCTAGCTCATATTATTTGCCGGAATTTCTCAAAAAACAGGATTTCGATATCGATTTTTATCGATTACTTGGAAACGGGGCAAGTTATCGAATATCGGAAACAAACTCGATCTGCGCGGGGACTAGACAGCTATATTCACAGGCTGAGAAATAGCTATTGCATATGTCATAATGTTTGAAAAAGGTTCTTAGATAATGCATTAATAGTTCGATTAAAATCGAAATAAATTAACAATTAATTTAGTCGCTTTCGTGAACTTTGAAAGTTATTTTCGCGTAAGCGTAAGCTATTGAGAAAGTTCGTGAGTAAATTAATTATCTAATTGCAACGTTATTAAATCGAATATGTTTCAGATAACAATTAAATATATTAAGTACTTTGGCAACTAAGTACTTACTTATTGAGCCATCCTCGCTGCTGACGGCTTGTGTCTAGCTTCGGCGGCTACTCGAGCTGTCTGCACACATATTTATATAAAGCGTTTGCTAGACATAAATCCAACAAAACATTATATACAAACAAAGCGCACACACTCATGACCAAAAACCCATTTGACTAGGCAGCCGCAGCCGCAGCAGCAGCCGCAGCAGCCGCAACAGAAGGCCGAGGTCCATTGTTGAAGGCCCTTCCCCTCGCAACAGCCCAGAAGCGAAACAAGTGTACGTAATATGTCCAACGGTTTGTCGGTCGGCTGCCGCTTCATCAATTCAGCCATAGCCATGTCCACATTTTGGGCCAAAAACAAAGCGCCAACAACAGCAACAACATCAAGGAAAATGCGATGGAAATGGAGATCGAAATGCACGAAAATTGAAAATGGCAACGGCGACGGCGACGGCGACGCTTCACATTTCCATTTGAATAATTTAGACATTTTCGTTGATGAATAACCGAGAGCACATTGATAGATATTCGCCGACTACAAATGCCGGCCCGTACGACGCGTCGTATACGCAATGCCTCACCTATGTATATATGTTACTATATATATGGAGATCTATATCTATATATATATATATATATATGTACCTCTGTGGCTTTTGTGTATATGTCGCTGAACAGCTTAGAGAGTTGTGGACCATGCCAGTCTAGTGTGTCAGCTTTTGACTGCTCAACAGCGTCCTTACATAAATACGTGTTTGTAATGTAGACTACAGACAGTTACATACACACACACACACACACACACACACACTTACACACACAATACATGGCCATTGTATGGATAGGTTGTATTGGCATAAAGCGCCACACTTGATTTTCATTTTGCCATTGAATCCATCAGCTGTCTGAAGGACCAAAGGACGCATTGCCAATGGCACTTTAAAGCATTTAAGGAAACAATTCAATATTGTGCTACATCAATTGGCAATCGAAGGCATTTTATTTGCGCCAATAAAAACAGTTTCAAGGACAAATCAATCAAGCTATGCTCAAAAAGGTAATTCATTCAGTTTTCTTAAAGCTTCAATGTTTGAATTAAAAAAAAGATAGCTTTAGTTAGGAGTTTTTCAAACATTTGCCTTTTCTCCTTATATGAATAAAGTTTAAATATCTGCAGTTGATTAAAATGTGTAACTTAGATGCATATAAATTATTTTCAAATACTATTTGCAAAATTTATACAAATATATATCTTATTCATATACCCATTTAAACTGTTGCTTTTTGCATTCCTATATGCAGGATAGTTTATTTATATTAGACAACAGAGAAAACTCTTTCTACCGATGTAAACGTCTACGATTTAAAGGACGTGCTTTTCTCAAAGATTTTCTTTGCCTTCTACATAACTAAATGTCATTTTAACAGCACGTTAAATGGGCTTCTTGAATTGTATATAAAATGATGAAATTTTAAAGCATTCGATTGTTTAACAATGGCTTGCAGCAAATCGCTGGCAACATAATTGTAAAATATGTCTGTGCACAGAAGCGAATCCCTAGGCCAAGCTCGCGCTTAGGCAAAGTCACGCATGTTAATACACAAATACACTCATACTCGGACACATGCATACTCCCACAAACGCATCCATTTCATACGAATACTCACGTGTACTCATACTCATTGCTACTCATAGTCATACATACCATCGCATTTTCATACACGCACATACTCACAAATACACGTATACTGCCATATACGCATATTTATACACACTCATACTCATGCACATGTATACTCCTTCATACGAATACATACATGTACTCATTCTCAAACAAACGCACTCTCATGCACATTCATACTCAGGCATACGCCAACTCACAAATACGCGTAATTCCTCATACGCATTTTAATTCATACGAATACTTACTTGTTCTCATACTCATTGATACCCATACCTATTATGCATACGCATACTCAGAAATAGGCATACTCATGCATACTCATACGCACACATACGCATACTCATAACTACTCGGAAGCGCAGCGGTAATGAATTTGTATAATGTGCTGTCGTCGCTGCTTCGACTGCAACTGACGGATGGACAGGCGGACAGCTGGACAGCTGGACAGCTGGATAGGCAGGCGGAGGGTCGGCGGCACGGACCGACCGATAAGTAGCAGTAAACATACAGTGGACTCATAAATAATATCAAGTAGGCATGCACTGGCACAGACGAGCCACCTAGCGGCCAATCAATTAAACGGCCGATGCTCAGCCCTCGGGCCCAAGAGTTGAGCTGAGGAAAGATGTGGCGCGAAAAAAAAACGTTTATTGTGCGTGTAATCAGCTCTTAACTTATAATTTATAAAGCGGCCTGCAGAGTGTGTGTGTGTATTAGTTCGCAGTTTAGCACTGTGAGAGATGCAACGCATCGGCGGAAGCTATAAACATCTGTATAATTAAATAAAATAAAATTAAAAATGTTAATGAGCGCCTCAGAGCCTCGGAGACGACCATCGCGTTGACCATCTCTGGGCTTGGTTTGGGCTTTCAGTGTTTGCAATTTTCTTTTGGGCTCTGTTTGGCTCGCTTGCCGCATGCCGCATGCCCCTGAATAATGGGCGAGTGGCGCGCGAGTTGGCAACACTGGCGAACGCAGTTTTGCGACTCAGCCCGTGGCTTGTAAACAATTTAGCGTGTCTCTTCATATTATATCATTAAAATTAATATGAGTTTGGCGTGCTGCAAGTTATTGCCACAGTTGCAGCCGCAGCCGCAGCAAAGTGCGTCTCTTAAACTGGCTCAGACAGTGGCCCAAAGGCCTAGCGGCCCCCCCGTCCAATTGGCCAAGCTGCTGAC